CAATAGAAGGGCTTAGGTGATTAAGAGTGAGAGAGGCTGTTGTCTCCAAACCAGTGAAAAATTTAAAGTAGACTTATGGTGTGTGACGTGTTTCTTGAGCATCCTTGGCATGTCAGCAAACAGAAGAGCAAATAGAACACTCTCAAGACTTGAAGCATTATTAATGCTAAAGACATGAATGAAACGCATATGGTGTTAGGTGCGTCTCATACTGTAACATCTCAGGGATCTGTGAGTACTGCAGAGCAAGAGGAATGTCTTTGTGGTATAGTGTAAGCACAGCTGGTTTAATAAACTAAATGAAGTGGAAAAATTGGTCAAACCTCACACCGGAAGGTACACTTTCTGAATGTGATATCTGTTATTAATTCTTACTTTTTAAACAAGAACCTCTTAACTTTTCTGTATCTTGAACTTTGCAGGATTTCTCTCTGTAGGCTTCAGGGAAGGAGGGAAGAACTGGATTGTGCCAAATCACCAGCAGCCTCTCCAGGAAGGTGATCTGGGTGCTTCTTACATAAGTCTCACATTGTACTGCGTCAGACCTACGAGGAAGTGATGCTTCCTCACGTAGAAACCATGGCTCTGTGCACATCCTCCCATTTTAGTTGTGTTCTTTTCTCTCTTAATTTTATTAAGGGTAACAAGATTAAAATATTATCTCTCTGGAGGACAGGATGTTTGGCAGCTGCAGCTGTTTCCTATAAGAAAAAAAATAAGTATCTGTTTGACTGGGAAGTACATTGATCATCTTTTTCTCTTGAGAGAAAGAGAAAAGAATTTAAGGCTTGACAAAGAAGTTTAAGCCTTAAAGTGGCTCATGGACCCACATCCTCATTCTAAATGTCTTGTGGAGTGGGGCCTGCACTATGGTGATCTAAAAATTACCATACAGAGTACCTGCTACCCAAGGGAGCCTCACAGGAGTTGGTGCTTACTATCCTGAAGATTTCCATTCTGTCCTGTCATGTTTTGCAGGGCCAGGTTTTTTATAACCAACAAATCTTGTTTTGGAACATTCGTTCTTGGAACTTGCTCAGACTTGTTTTCTTTAACATTTTTAAAAGTGAATTATCTTTCTTGGAAGGTGATGGATTGTGACAGCCCTGAAGATTAAAGACCTACATTTATCTACACAGCAGATTAGGCACAGACCATGCTGAGTTCCCCTGCATGCCCTGTTTCTGTCTTGACTTCTCCCCAGATGCTAATGGTACTGGAGAATTTTATAACATGCTGCTTGCAGAACTTGATCTAGGATTTTACACGGTAGTGGGGGGTGCACAGTTGCATGGTCTGGTGCTACAGGGTGGCTGCACCCCCTGCTCCCAGCCTTCTCTTCCCTCCTTGTTCCATTCTCCCCTCCTCCAGCTGGGGCAGGCAGCACTGCAGGAGCAGCAACTGCCAAGGACTTAAGTCCCAAAGAAGGTAAGCATTTCTCCCTTCCCACCTTTCCTATTTCCCACCCACTCCTGCCTGCCAATGCCAGATGCTGTCTTGGGGGTGAGGTGAGCTCCTGCCAGCTCCAGCTGGGCTGCAGAGGGGCCACACTTACCAGGGACAGCAGTGGCAGTGGCCAAGGGGCATGTTTCCCCTCCATGTGCCTGCTCTTGGGCTGGCAGGGAGCACCTGTGGGGATCAGGCAGGAGAAGGAACATGACTGTCTGCTGCAGCTGCTGTGATCTGGGCTGAGCACAACTCCTGTGCAGTCCACCTGGAGTGGGTAGAACCTCCTCTCCCCCAGGTGCTGTCCCAAGGGCACGTAGGAGAGGGGGGAATGGGATAGAGAGGTGCAGGGGAGAGGAGATGTGCTTTTGAGGGGAAGGGAGCTGGGAAATGCTTACCTTCATTGAGACTTAAATCCCCATCTGCTGCTCCAGTGGCATGGTCAGGGAGGGTTGTCTCGGTTCACTCTCTGGTAGATTCCTAATGCATTTCATGCAGGCCCATGACCAATAATCAGCTCCTGATGACTGCAGTTTGCTACCAGCTTCAATTGAATTTATGCCAGGGACCTTTAGGAGAAAGATTGTGCAGGTTGTTCCAGTCTCCCACAAGTTACTAGAAAGCCAAAGTTCTCTGGTTCTTCAGCACATTTTTTCCACTTGAAATAAAAGTGGGATCTGGGCAGTGCCAGGGTTTCTATTTTAATCCATTTTCTATTGTGTCTTTAAAATGTTAACAGCTAAAAATCAATAGCTCATGGACAGAAATGCAAGAAGTGGCCAATATTGATTTTTTTTTCCTCTTAAATGTGCTTGCTGTGATTAAAAGTTTTATTGAAGTCTTTTCAAGATGGCAAGAGACCCAGTAGCAGTATTTCAGGAAAAATTAGGAGATTTAAGGGCTGCTAGTAACCCATTAGATAATTGAGTTGGTGAATGACATATCTTGGTAGTACACTGCTGTTCCAACCTCTTGTTGCCAAATCCCTTCCAGTCCATTGTTCTGTGCAGAGTGGCATTTTGGATTATACACAAGCTGTAAATAAATATTTATAGTTCTCTAGGTTTTGGGACTTGAGGGGGTGCTCTTTCCTTTATTTCTCTATCTTCATATTTGGGTTTGAGTGGTGCTGTTGCTTACCCATGATTAATAGTACATTGGGAATACTACACAGTATTGAAAACATTCATAGCCTTGATTCAGCGCTCTCTGGATTCCTCCTTGTAGGAACATATGACCACTATGAAGCAATAATTTCTAATGATCTGTGTGCCTTTGACTTGGAAGCAGGGAGTCTTGTGGGCTAATCAGTTGGGTTCAACTAAAGACCTGATTTTCAGAGCTTCTGAGAGTCTCTAATTGCAGCTGAAATCACAGGGAGCGGAAGTCAAGTCCTAAAAGCCAAGTCCTTGATGTTGAAGGTTTACACCCAAAATTAGTGGACACTTTGGAAAAATTTACGTTTTAATCTCTCTGTACATTTTCAATATGTGAATGGAGATAATCATTCTTAACTGCCTGATGGGTTTTGTAAGGACTATAATAAGTTAACATTTGTTCAGTGTGAAGTATAACATCTTTCTGTTTCATATAAGGCAGCTTACAATTTCAGGGGATTGTAAAGAAAGGGAGGAAATTGGGTTTTATAGCCAATAAAGAATAATATAATTATAAAACACGCAGCTTTCCTTAGTACATCATTGTGTACTCAAACATTTATCACATCCAGAAAGAGCTGGTGAAGCTTATAAGTCAGAGATCATGCCCAGCCTTTAACTACTGCAACATCCATTAAATAATTGTATCCTGCAATTATCCTTCAAAGCACTAGTTTGTAATACACAAGATACTTCCAGACTGATTTGGTATATTGCATATCCATTAGTTCATCCAGAAAAGAATATTTATTATATGTATGTTTTTCTTTTACTAGTAGTAGTAGTAAAGTGAGGCTTGTCTAACATCCTAATGCCTAAGCATGTCTATGGCTGTTTTGGAGAATGGGGTTGAGCCAGTGAGAACTGTTATTGGTGTATGCTTAACAGCAGCAGAGTGGAGTGAAATGGAAAGGGAAGAGGAGGAGAAGATTACAACATGGAAGGGAGAAAACTCAGAGGATAAATGGACAAAATGAATAAGGTAAATACAAGCTGATCTCACAAGAATACTGTTAGACTTAATTTTTATAAAACATTTTTACTTCAGTGCCTCCTTTCATTCCAGAATTGCTTTAATGTTATGCTGTAGGCATGTCACAACTGTGACTTCCCTGCCTCTAGTAGCAGGTGGCTATATGTGTGAATTAAAGTGTTGGTTACCTTGGCAGAGATTGTATTTGAGGCCACTACTTGTTTTCTGCAATGAGTAGATATCACTGAGATGAAAGATGGGAGAGGTGGGGTTGCCTATGCTGATGATGTACTTGCAGCCAGACCCAGTAATTTCCAGTGGTCTTTGTTGTACAAAGTGGATCAGAGTATCTGCTGGGTTCTTCAAAGCCCCCTTCTGGCTCCAGTAGTTCTTCAGCCTGCCAGCACTTGCTCCCAAGGAATATCTAGTTAATTTTGGAGAGAGTGTACTTGGAATCATCAAGCATGAAGGAAGAGAGGCCTGATGATTTTAGAGGTCATACACTCATATAGAACATGCAGAATATCCTAACTGTTCATCATGATTGTCAAAAAGCCATGACTTGCCTTTGACCATTTTAGTAAAACCCCAGAATGACTGACTATTTTTAGGGATGTATTTGGTAGCCGTGTTGGTCTGAGACAAAAAAAATGTAAACATCTAGAACTCTGTTTCAGAAATGATACCTTTTATTAGACCAACTGAGATATTGCAAAAAAATTACCTTTTTCTGAAAGCTTTCAGACTCGCGTGCCCTTCATCAGGCTCAGGGAAAGTTTGAGATGGTAAAAAGTCCCACAGATTTCCAGCTTCTACTTTCTCTGTGCAAAAATGAAGTTTATTTCCTACATATGGGGACTTTTTACCATCTCAAACCTTCTCTGAGCCTAATGAAGGGCATGTGAGCCTGAAAGCTTGCAGAAAAAGGTAATTTTTTTGCAATATCTCAGTTGGTCTAATAAAAGGTATCATTTCTGAAACGAGTTCTAGATTTTTGCATGACTTTTTAAGGTTTTGAGTAGTAGTTTTATTTGGTTTTTCTCTTTGCAGGGCACACTAGAGGGCGCTGCTTAATTTAGTTTCAACCTAATTCCGCTGGATTGCAACATTAGTTTGAGGAAAGTAGAATGAAATTAGGTGCGTTTCTTGGGCTGCTGTGAACTCTCACTGAGCTTTCTTTAAAGTTTTTAAAACATTTTAATGTTGATTGGTTGCTAAGGATCAATCAATGCTTTGACAACAGAGAGAGAACACTTTGGAAAGACACATTGGTACAGTAAACAGAAATTTAAACTGGAACTCACTGCAGTTTTTAAGCAAGGACAATGTGCTGGTTTTGTTAATCCAGTTTAATCTTTGTCCAAATAACAAAGGAGAAGTGGTTATTGTGGTGTTGTCTTTTA